GGCGGTGAGTATGGTTCCTTAGGCCATATTTGACATCCCGGAAAAATTTTAGGCGATCCGGATCCGGGGTCCAGGGCCCACGGCGGAAGGCGTGGGCTATAGCACACGAAAATTTGGGACTCGCGCGAATTTCCAGTTTTATGGCCGTAAAATGCCAAAAAACATAATTTGATCATGGAGGGGCAGTTAATACATTTCTATAGGCCGTATTCGACGTCCTAGAAAAATTTTAGGCGATTTTGGTCCGGGATCCCGGACCCACGGCGGAAGGCGTGGGCTATAGCACATGAAAAATTGGGACGCGCGTATTTCCAGTTTTATGGCCGTAAAATGCCAAAAAACATAATTTGATCATGGCGGGGCGGTTAATATGTTTCTATAGGCCGTATTCGACGTCCTGAAAATTTTTTAGGCAATTCGGATCCAGGGTCCTGTTCCCACGGCGGAAGGCGTGGGCTATAGAACACGAAAATTTGGGACTCGCGCGGAATTCTAGTTTTATGGCCGTAAAATGCCGAAAAATATAATTTGGTCATGGAGGAGCGGTGACTATGGTTCCTTAGGCCGTATTCGATGTCCCGGAAAAATTTTAGGCGATCCGGGTCCGGGGTCCCGGGCCCACGGCGGAAGGCGTGGGCTATAGCACACGAAAATTTGGGACTCGCGCGGATTTCCAGTTTTATGGCCGTAAAATGCCAAAAAACATAATTTGGTCATGGAGGAGCGGTGACTATGGTTCCTTAGGCCGTATTCGACGTCCCGGAAAAATTTTAGGCGATCCGGGTCCGGGGTCCCGGGCCCACGGCGGAAGGCGTGGGCTATAGCACACGAAAATTTGGGACTCGCGCGGATTTCCAGTTTTATGGCCGTAAAATGCCAAAAAACATAATGTGATCATGGCGGGGCAGTTAATACATTTCTATAGGCCGTATTCGACGTCCTAGAAAAATATTAGGCGATTCGGGTCCGGGATCCCGGGCCCACGGCGGAAGGCGTGGGCTATAGCAAACGAAAATTTGGGACTCGCGCGTATTTCCAGTTTTTTGGCCGTAAAATGCCAAAAAACATAATTTGATCATGGAGGGGCGGTGAATATGATTCCTTAGGCCGTATTCGATGTCCCGGAAAAATTTTAGGCGATCCGGGTCCAGGGTCCCGAGCCCACGGCGGAAGGCGTGGGCTATAGAACACGAAAATTTGGGACTTGCGCGTATTTCCAGTTTTATGGCCGTAAAATACCAAAAAACATAATTTGATTATGGCGGGGCGGTTAATATGTTTCTATAGGCCGTATTCGACGTCCTGGAAAAATTTTAGGCGATTCGGGTCCGGGGTCCCGGGCCCACGGCGGAAGGCGTGGGCTATAGCACACGAAAATTTGGGATTCGCGCGGAATTCCAATTTTATGGGCGTAAAATGCCAAAAAACATAATTTGATCATGGAGGGGCGGTGAATATGATTCCTTAGACCGTATTCGATGTCCCGGAAAAATTTTAGGCGATTCGGGTCCGGTGTCCCGGGCCTACGGCGGAAGGCGTGGGCTATAGCACACAAAACTTTGGGACTCGCTCGGAATTCCAGTTTTATGGCCGTAAAATGCCAAAAAATGTAATTTGGTCATGGCGGGGCGGTGAGTATGGTTCCTTAGGCCATATTTGACATCCCGGAAAAAATTTAGGCGATCCGGATCCGGGTTCCAGGGCCCACGGCGGAAGGCGTGGGTTATAGCACACGAAAATTTGGGACTCGCGCGAATTTCCAGTTTTATGGCCGTAAAATGCCAAAAAACATAATTTGGTCATGGAGAAGCGGTGACTATGGTTCCTTAGGCCATATTCGACGTCCTAGAAAATTTTTAGGCGATCCGGGTCCGGGGTCCCGGGCCCACGGCGGAAGGCGAGGGCTATAGCACACGAAAATTTGGGACTCGCGCGGAATTCTAGTTTTACAGCCGTAAAATGCCAAAAAACATAATTTGATCATGGCGGGGCAGTTAATACATTTCTATAGGCAATATTCGACGTCCTAAAGAAATTTTAGGTGATTCGGGTCCGGGATCCCGGGCCCACGGCGGAAGGTGTGGGCTATAGCACACGAAAATTTGGGACTCGCGCATATTTCCAGTTTTATGGCCGTAAAATGCCAAAAAACATAATTTGATCATGGCGGGGAGATTAATATGTTTCTATAGGCCGTATTCGACGTCCTGGAAAATTTTTAGGTGATTCGGGTCCGGGGTCCCGGGCCCACGGCGGAAGGCGTGGGCTATAGCACACGAAAATTTGGGACTCGCGCGGAATTCCATCTTTATGGCCGTAAAATGCCAAAAAACATAATTTGATCATGGAGGGGCGGTGAATATGTTTCCTTAGGCCGTATTCGATGTCCCAGAAAATTTTTAGGCGATTCGGGTCCGGTGTCCCGGGCCCACGGCGGAAGGCGTGGGCTATAGCATACGAAAATTTGGGACTCGCGTAGAATTCCAATTTTATGGCCGTAAAATGTCAAAAAACATAATTTGGTCATGGCGGGGCGGTGAGTATGGTTCTTTAGGCCATATTTGACATCCCGGAAAAATTTTAGGCGATCCGGGTCCGGGGTCCCGGGCCCACGGCGAAAG